ATGTGCAAAATGATGTAAAAATAAACTTTGTAATAAAAAACAAACAAACAAACAAACAAAAAAAACTTCTGGGCATCACCAAACATCCTGAGGGTTCTGAGTTAAGAAGGAGTGGGGCGGGGCAGACAGGGGACAGGTGAGCTGCTTTAAGGGGAAGGCACTCCAGAAAAAATTTGCTAAGGAGGACTTGTTATTCTCAAAATAGGTCTTAAAAATAAATAAAGTACACTTTATATATACTTATATCTAGAGATATAAATTATATCACTTTGGTGAGGATTTCAAACAAGACTGATAATCCGAGAATAGTAAAGGGCGGGGGGAAAGAATTACGCCAAGGGAATAGCAATAGGAGACAATACCAGGAATACCTGACCTGGAATTTATGTACTCTGGATATTAAAACAATTCCAACTTGGATATTAAGCAAATTAAATTCCAACTTGGATATTGACAATTAAAACTTGGATATTAAAAAAAATTTTCAAGATTTTATATCAGCTGCCTAACAAAAACCAAACAAATAAAAAGAAAAATAGAAAGCTGAAGACAAAAACAGGTCTCAGTATCAACCAGAAACAGGCCTAACACCACAAAAAGACAGAGGGCAGGAGTTGGAGCTTCTCCTGTAATGGCTGCCTGCACTTCTTGGTAGGGGCATCCAGAAGGCAAATTCTGCCTTATTTCATATAGCTGGGCAAGTACGTTACAGCTGATCTCTATATGCTTTAAGTTTGCCTTCTCTGTAAAACAAGAATAGTGGTATCAACTTTGAACAGATCCTGGAACACAGTGAACCCTCTACATTTGCTAAATAAGATAAATTCAAATAGCAAATCTACAAGCACGAAATCAACCAATTAACAAATGTGTGCAGCCATTACTGACAGCCTACACGATACTCAGTACTAGATATTTAAGATATATTTATTTATGCATATAAGAACTGGGGTGCAGGAGGTGACAGAATTCACCAGAGACAGGGTGGGGAGCAAAACAGGCAGATCCACTGGAAAACACTACTGAGGGGAGAGATCTGCCAAGCTATGTGGGTCACCTCCCTGGCTGGGGATTGAACTCATGTGGCAATGTCTATTGATAGCTTCATTGTGCAGCACTTTAACCCCTGTGCCACCAGGGAGGCCCTAGACTCAGTACTAGATTAAGACCTGACATTGAAGAGAGGGAATACCAGTGTGTATTGGAGGAAGCTAGGGTACACAGGCACTAGTTAACATCATGCAAAGGAGGTCATGGACCTAGGTGAAAAGTTGGTGGGAGAGGAAAGTCAAGGTCAGCTTCAGGTGGAGGTGGCACTGGTGATCAGGTGCAAGTGAGAAAAGACAGTTGGAGAGCCGTTCTACTAGAATAACCCCATAGCAGAGTGGAATGAAAACCAAGTACTTCCTCATACATTCAGCTAGGAAGTCCTTATTTTACATGAAATTTGTCTAGCTTTCTAAAAATTGCTCCCTTTTAAAAGCAGTTTTGGCTCCAGTGAAGGCTTCTAATAAATGCCTGCAGCTAGTCACAATCCTGCATTCATTCTTCACATGTACCAAGTGTTTTCAAATTCTTTTGTACCTTAATCCTCTTTGTTTCAGGTTCTGCAATCACACCACTGGTTTTAAGATCCAGATCTCCAAGACTTCTTGTCATTGCAAGTCTGCCATTTACATGAGGCTGTCCCAAACTATTCCAAGCTACAAAACCACCACATTTCTTTATCCTAGGCAAGAAAAGGTTGTAAGACTATGATGTGATAGAACAACCAAAGCCTCGTTCAACTTTAGTATGACATCAGTTTAAAATGCAAAGCTTCACTTCTATCTAGTGTCACATAAACACCCTCCATCATGGAAGCAGTACCTTTCTTTTTCATCTTTTCTTTCTGGAGTATGGTCAATGGTCAGTTTCATGGCTTTTCCTTTCCGGCACAAAATGGCCCGGCTGTCCCCAACACTGGCAACAACCAGTTCAATACTATCTCGCAACAGAGCTACTGTTGCAGTAGTCCCAGAGGTCAGAAGAGTAGCTGCAAACATTATGAAAGAGTATAAGTCAGTGATCATCAAATGCTTGGGTATAGAATTTTTATGACACAGGCATATTAAAATAATGCAGAAATGTATTATTCTAATTTGACTAACATTATGCAAATAGAATGCAAATGAAGTTGGTAAGTAAGAGCATGCAGAGAAGAAAGTATGTAATCAGTAACAAGGCTCCATGCAAACAAAAAGTTGCTGACCTACTTCGGTTAAAAAAAAAAAAAAGAAGCATCGCTGTTTCCAAATAGGCCCAATTTTAAATATAAGGTACAGCTGCTCTAAATTTATTATAACTACATCCTTGTGTGTGCCTTAGGTTAGGATTCAAATTATTAAATTTTCATTAGATTGGCAAATAAAACAGGATGAATTAGATCTAGTATGTCTACTCAGACATGCTGACTCTTCTATCATTTAAGCACTTCGATTTTTTTGAACATTTTTTATTGCTAACCTGTGGATGTATTATTAAGTGGCAGTCTAAGTAAGAATTGAGTGCTTACTTTGTAGTCTTTGCTTCTACAATTGTTACTACAAATACTCACACATGAAAAAATTCTAACATGGTTAAAGAGCCACATTCTTTTCTGCTTATCTTTGTCCTTCCCAGTCAAGAAACAAAGTTACAGCCATCCTTAGCGGAAAACTGGGTGTAGAGGTAGTGACATTCATTATAGTTTCCCATACACTTGGTATAATTAACACTCCCTAGCTCTAGAAAGAGCCAAAATAATCAGCCTGTATCCAAAATCAGGACTGTACTGTTAAGTGCTATACCTGTGGTCACACTGTAGGCCCAGAGCATCCCAAGAATATTAATTTTCTCTGACCTGTAACAAATATAATCAAGTTACTTGGCTTTGAGGTGCTAATATTTCTTTCATCCAACCCACTGAATTTTTGCATGTTATTTTGATTTGTAGTGTCTGCCCTACATTAAACATTGAGGTGCATTGAGCCTTGTCAAAAGAGAAAATACTGTGAAAATTATGGGTAAAGAAAATTGGAAGAAATTGAAAAGAACTTTTTTAAAGCAGGTATTGTGTTCAGTAGCATGGTTAATTCTTTTTTCTTTTTAGCATGGTTAATTTTTTAAAGCATCTAAATAAAATATTCAAGTTATCCTCTCTAAATGATTTGACTCAAAAGGTAGATTTAGGAAAAAATATTTTCCTCATCATTTCTAAATGATTTTAAATCCCAGTGCCACTGATTTGACTGATTGAGGTTTGCTGTTTCCAATTTTTTTCTTCAAAAAGACAATTTAAAAACCTCATCAGTACTCCATTACCAAGATACATCTAATCTACCTACTGATATAGATATCTATATAATACTACAATCTATACATTAACATGCCTGCTTTAATCAGAAAAGTAAAATGGAAAAACATGAATAAGCCTTATATAATTTTTTATATCCATGCTGAGTTTACTTTGAGAAACAGCATTTATACTGGCACCATCTCCCCACTTATCTCTTGATTTTGGAACTGTGTGCCAAAGTAATAATATCTCCACAATTTGAAAATATAACATGCATTTGTCACTGTGCAACATATATTCCTAGCATATCAGTGAAGTTTATACTGCAAATGTTAATTTTTGAAGTTTATATTGCAAATGTTAATTCCATCTAAAGGAATCTTTACAATGAAACTCTACAACTTTTACATGTGATTATAAGATCAGGGTAAGAGAACACAGCATTTACTCAGGTGCTTCCTGTCCAAAGAATTTAGTATTTTTCTCTTCTGATTAAATGATCAGCAGCAGCTTTTTGAAGGTGGCCTTTAATGGGCTAAATCAAAGAATCAAAATGTCATGAAAGAGAAATTTCAAAATTAGCTCGCTAGGCTTCTTATTCATTGCTCTGCCACCAATCCAACTTCACAGTTCCAAAATCCCAGGATTTATGGGAAAGCTATTCATTCTGTTTTGTTCAGCAACTAAGATGCAAATCTTAATTCAGCATTTATTTTCATTTAACATTTAACACAGAAATAAAAAAATTCTCTCTCTCTCTCTCTGTTTTTCTTTCCCTAACAACAAACTATATGACTAAGACATCTTTCAATAAGTTCTTAACACTCACTGGACATTTTCTACTGCAAGTCATCTCAACTAATGGGACAAAGAGGATGGATGTGGGAACCTTCCAGTAGTCCAGGCTAGGAACCGCTGGACTCCTTCACCTGGGACAAAATTAAGCAGATCTCTCTTTCCACAGAAGCCCAGCATATAGTGTCCCGGGCTCCAGGTCTAGAGCTGTTGACCCGGCACAAGTCTCTGCCACAAATAACACGCACAGAGGCAAATAGGAAATTCACCCAGGAATTGTGCTCAAACATTACACACCTGCAACACAGGGGAGGGCAGAGAGAGAGCTGCAAAATAAGGGGAAGGGTTTTTATGTTGATGAAAATGTCACTAGCAAATTACATCATATTTCAGGAGATGCCAAATCAGTTACCCAAGTTGATGGTATGTTGTAGTTGAGTACTTTTTCATCACAGAGTAATTAGTACTTCTTTCTTATTTTGGTGACTTCCCAAATGCATCTGCACCACAAGCCACGTGGCTACAGACACACCTACACAGTCACAATCTTGAAGAGTAAATCAGCACTTTTAGTGAGTTGGTGGGGAAAAGCACTGTAAATTTGTTTGGTAGCAATGTCAGAACTGTTCCAATTAACAAAAGGAAAATTCATGGATATGACATTAATTTGTATCTGACAAGCAATATATTGTTAGGGAAGATGGGAACTACACTATACCACCAACTACTGGGATTTAAATATATGTCAATCAGGAATCAAAGCACCTCTTATAGCACAGGATATAAGACATAATATATTTGTCAATAGTGCTTAACGCAGGGATTTGGTATCTAGAAGGCATTTTGGAGTATAATGATTACTGAAATTAATTGCCTAAATAAAAGCTAGTATACAATAATTGCATATAATTCATAAAATGATGTTTCTGCAGCTCTCTTTTTTCCCCCAGTGTTGCAGGTCCACATATCAAAAGAAAAATGATCAAGATTTCAAATGGCAACATAAAAAGTAAAAGCTATAATTGGCAAAACATAACTCTCTCTGGTGACTTATTCAATTGGTATAGACAATATCCGATATGTATAAGCCAATACAGTTGCAATACTCATTAAATATAAGTGCTAAGACATGAGCACTAAAATCAAAGTAATGAGCTGAAACAGTAACAGCACAATAAGAACATCTCTTAAAAGCTGTCCCTATTTTTTTTTCCTTTTTTTTTGGCTGCCTTGGATATGCTTGGATATGTTCAGGTGCATTGGTTATTTAGTATCTAATTTTCCCCTAAAGAGATCACACAGCATGTGATGTTCCATGAGAGTCACAATGCTGTCACCATTTCCAACTCACAAAGTCAAAGCAAATCTTCTCTTGTTGATCCATTTTTTTCTTGAGGAGTGCTGCTGCTTTCAAACCTTAAACAATCTAAAAACTCTTTAAGTGTTTATGAACTACATAAGATATAATTTAAGTTTTTGACACTTTTAGTTTAAATGGTAATTTGTAAACAATAGACTAATGGAAAATCATTTGTATTTACAAGCTGGCTTCATTTAAATGTAAAAATGTATATGCCTGGGGTAAAATGAATTTCAAAAAAATTCAAAAGATAATGATGAAATTATTCATATATAAGGGTAAAATATACTCAAAATGCATTACCAACGAATCAACAGAAATGACCAGCAGTTTCTTAAGGCTTGATTCTTGGCATTTTTTGATATTTTGGTTTTATTCTCCTCAACATTTAGTTTAAACTGAAATAGTAAACATTTTAAACGCTAGTGGAATGATTTTATAATTATATAGATATGATGTAAACTGGTGAACAGACAAAAATGTTTTATTTTCACTTTCTCTTCAAATTACTCAAATATGACTGAGAGGCACTGTTCACACTGAACATAAAATTCTACCATTAGTGATTCACTCCTATATTTTAACCAATTTTGATATTCCCTGCTTAAATTCAAATCTACCCAGAAAGGATAACTCATTAACATATATACATAATGTAAATAATTGGTCAATTCTGCTCTAGGATATCAAAGAATAAATACTTTGAGATAAAAGTAAGCAGTGGAGATCAGTTCAGCGCAGGTAACTGAGTGTCTCCCTGTGTGCAGAACTAGGGAGATTCAAAACTGAGTAAGATGTGTTTCCTGCACTCAAGCTGTCCACAGGAAAGATTCAAGAAAAAGGGGCTGATACTAGAAGTGAACTCAAAGAAACTGGAGAGGGCAAATTGTACATAATTTCATAATTGATTTAAGAATCACTGATCCAGCCTATCTCTAAGCTGAGAAGATACCATCTACTCTTATAATACTGATACTGCTTCAGTTCTTACCAAAAACTAAAAAAAAATTCAATAACGTTCAAATCTAACCCACAAATCTAAAAGTTAAAAACACACAGCATTCTATTCTTAATGACTTTAATATACTTGATAAAAATGGGCCCAAATAGCAAAAAACAATTTTTGGCAATTTGAAAGTATTGATCACTTATTAAGAATATAAATTTTCAAATTGTCCTCAAAAAATGTATTTTAAGAAACACACATACTAATTGATCTGACAGAGTATGTATCAAGTAAAACTTAAAAACAAGGTCATAAAGGACCTTTTTTCTTTCAGTAACACATTAAGCATCGTTTTCTTGCAACATTATACTCACAACAAATGACCATTAAATGAAAAACAAATCTTAGATTATTTTACAAAAGTTCTGGAATCATTACCTCATATGACAGAAGAATTAAATTGAACACATTTTAATTTCATCATTAGAAATGATCTACATTTTTATGACTGATTTTGCACAGGGCATCTTTAGAGAGTATTTTTTAAGATATGTAGGTTATATACATGCTCCCGCTAGGTTGAAAATTCTTTTAATTAAAACTTATTTTGTGATAAATGGAAGGGGTTTTCTACTTCACACCTAATCTTCATGTTTTAAGCATGTTAGTCATTACAGTCCTTTACAAAAGGGCTGACTACACCCATGCAGGATGAATGATTGATTATTGACCATATTTTAATGCCTTTGAATGTTCTTTTCTGAAAACCTTGCCAAATAAGCACTGTTTACTGAACAAGGCACACCCATCTGCTATACCACTAAGCACCAATAGGGACCACCTTTTGGATGAAATAGGAACATACCAATATTCAGAGTAAAAAAAAAAAAAAATACAACCATAATAAAGTGTGTCTTTTATTGTCCTCTTGTCCTTCTTTTGTCTTACCCATTAGGCACAAGAGCTAAATCTTTTTAAAATTTACCTCTCTCAAGTCCTCTTTTTGTAAGAAGAGAGCTGGAAGGGGAAAGTGCAAAAAAATGAAGGAAAAGAGAAAATGGGCCTGAATGATCTGCAAATGAGAAAATAAATCCCTGCTGTGAGTGAGCTCTACTGATTTTCTCAGGTATACGATGCAAGGTTTTCAAAAAAGAGCAGGAAAAAACTCTTAAAATGGCAAATTGGGCCATCCTAAGAATTGCCTTCTCTAATCCTCATCATTCATTATTAAATATGCCCATGAGAGAGGCAAAGATGGGTGCCAGGAAAACCCCAGCACTGATTCTGCAACTGACCTTTACCTCTGAGTTTCAGTTCCTTATCTGTGATGCACTCTGACCTCCTTCAAACAAAAGGATGAATATTATAGCACAGATCAATATTATAGCATGATTCATTTCCAAGTCACTTATTAGGGCTATAAGCACATTTATATAGCCACAGCACAAGTTTTTAAGATTAACTTAAAATGAGTAAGAGATTTGGGGGCCAGCTAGCTACAAATATTAACTACATTTTCTAAAAATGGTTTTGATAAATGTAATCAAAATCAAAAACATTTCACTTTCAAATTTTAAGGACACACAGTTCATGAAGTTTAATTTTTAAATTCAGCTAATATGCTCTTCTGTTTAACACATAAAAACAAAAAATATTAATAGTTACCCAGGAAAGTCACACGATTAGCTTTTATTAAGAAGTAGAAGAAAAAATATCTTCCTTCTAGTTATTCAAATATTAACCATTATCCTTTCCTACCTAGGACCAATTAAGAATTTCTTCTAGTCTAGATAATTACCACCCTGGCTAGATACGATTACCCTGTAGTGTATTTCATCAGACTCATCTACTTGTTCATCAGACTCATCTAAAAAAAACAAAAACAATAACAATAAACCCTTTCATACTATAGCCATCTTGTCCATAAAATGAACAATCAAACAGATTTTTTTAAAAAAAGGTTAACCTTTTAATAGTTGAATTACTAACATTAGTTTGAATTCCAAAAATAGCATTTAAAGTAATTCTTTACATAAAGTCATCTTGACATAAGCATCCTTGCAAATAAACTTACATTAAAATTCCCACCCCTGAGGGTTTAAATTGTTTCCATTCTCCAACATTTCCCAAACCCTCCCCCCAACCCCCCAGGATTGTGATTGTTTTACTTACCATCAGCAGACAGGTTGGCCTGCCTGGAAAAGGCTTTATCTATTTCTAGAAAAGCCAAGGTCAATACAGTTTCCAAGTTCTTCTCTTTAGGAAGCAAGTCCCTGGATGGGAAAGAAAAAAAAGAGTCCCTAAAATCATTTTACTATTGCTTTCAAATCTTCTGTAGGTCACTCTAGCTAGCACTCACTCCCATACAATGGACAACCCCCCTCCCCCATGACTTGACTTTCAAGATGCTTGAAATTCACAGGTCAGCTAGTCAAATTGGGAATCAGGCAGAGATAAGCCTTTAAGGTCAACAGAAGTCTAGGGACCCTATCTGTAAAGAGGAATCCTCACTATCACAACCCTGAGAGGTTGCATTCCTTCATGTTAAATTAAGCCACTATTTCCTCTGTGGAATATGGAAAAAACATTCATGATTCAACTGATGACCAGTATGAATAACTATACACAGGAAGAAAAGTGGTCCCATTGTCATAAGTGTCCCTGTTCTCCCCCTACTTTACCATATATGACCAGTAGTGGGATGGTCAAACCACACCAATAATCATCATAAACATTTATTTCCTTAAAGAACACTAAAAAAGGCACACTCAATATGTTCCCCATACTTATGCCAATTATCTAAAGCTACTTTCAGCATGTTTTCAAAACCATACACACCACTTGGATGAGTTACCATTTGCTGGAGCACTCACTGTATGCCATGCACTGAGGAAGGAGGACAAGGCCCCCCTAGGCTGTCAGTGTCACAATGGGATTATGTCAAACTGAGGCCATGCCTCAGAGAATGAAAACTGGCTTTCCAGGAATAGCCTCCAAGCCTTTGGAATATCCCTGGAAGGCCAAGCTGTGTATCCGTCCCCTTGAATTTTCACCCTCTTTATTTCCTGTTGTCACCAATAAAGGCCATTGGTACCAGAAAAAAAAAAAATTAAAATCGGCGGTTTTAGTTAGAATTAATTAGGGTAACTACCAGAAACAACCATTCTGTCTAAATAACCTATGTGGCTGAGCAAACGTAATTCACTATAGATCATGTGTTCTTTATCAAGTGACTCATCTCCCCTTTATCACATGACTGTCCTCATCATCCTTTCTCCTTGAACCCCCCAGGACTCATACCATAGGTGGGAATATGTAACTCCACTTTGGTTCATCTCTATGTATATGTCTATTTGCAGATCACGTAGTCACTTACTAATGTTCAGTCAACAAATGAACCGTATATATAGGGTGGTTGTCCCAATAGGCTATATCACAGAGCTTAAGTGAGCAGCAGATTACATCATCTGAATTGTGTAATTATACTCTATGAGGTGTGCACAAGGACACACTTTCTCAGAACATTTCCCCCACTAAGGGATGCATGACTCTAATTAAATTTGGATTTTTCTCCTACTGACCTGTTCGTTGTTAATTTGATTGTTCAAGCAGTCCAAGCAAAATCCAGAGGAATAGGAGGAAATTTCCCTCCCCCTCCCACCCTGGAAAAAAATGTTTCCCATTAATCTCATAGTAGATGAGATCATGTACTTCATATTAATTCATTTGAAATGACCACAGTCAAGTCCTGTAGACTCTAGTCAATACTCTTGCCTGGGGCATTGTTAAAACATATGTTTCTTAAATGGTAAACATCAGTAATAAATAAGCCACTGCTCCATTATAAAACAGCATGAAACCACTTAAATAATTACATTAGCACTAAATATGTCAGCCAAAGTTTAAACTTGGACATAAGGCAAGCTGCAAGGTCAGAGTGAATGTCATTGTACATACATGATGCATTTCTCCATGTGGGTATGACAGAAATCAGCAGCTGCAGGTCCGCCATGTCCATCATACACTGCAAAGTACAGGACCTCATCTGTTAGCTGAGAAAAGTCAAACCGGTCTTCATTCTCTTTCCGTTTGCCAATCTGTGAGGCACAACCCACGTTTTCCAAGCTGATTTTGGGAATTGGCTTGCCATATTTGATACTGGGAGGCAGTAGAATTGGCTCATCGATGCGGTTGTCCCAGATCCCAAAATTATCCCAGGTAGCTGGACGCCCACTACCATCTGGGTCAAACCGAGAACATCTGGGCTCTGAAGTGGAGATGTGGCAGATGGGGATCACCCGCCTGTCTTCCTGTAGCAGGCGGGAGTTAAGCAACACTCTCCTCCTCACCTGGTTCCCACCACTTCTAACCAAAGTAATTAAGGCAGCTGTTGACATAACTCAACTCCAAAGGACTCAGTAATGAGGGAATGGTCAATGGAATAATGGATGTCTTCAACAAAAATGATGCAACTGAGTAGAAAGAAAGAGAGAGAGTTATCGGCAATTTGAATATCATGAATATACATGATATACTGTTAATATACAACAGATATTAACCAAAAAGCCATAAGAACAGTAAATTTAATAAACGAACCAAATTACCTAGCCAATTCATAGTGCTTACATTCTATAAAAATTTGACAATGTGCATAGATTGTATAGAAAAATGGCATGTCGAATTTTAATCTGTAATCATTGGAGATTTTGTTAAAATGAAAATTCTGATTCACTCTGGGGTGGAGTCTGAGAGCTTCATTTCTAGCCAGCTCCCTGATGATCTGATGATATGAACTGCTGGTCCAGCAAGTCCACAATTTGAGTAGCAAGAAAATAGAGTACAACGGACTTCATTGTTCTGAACAAAAGGGAGGGACACATGTTAATGATAACAAAATCTCTTACAAAAGATAGAAAAAAGAAAAAACAACTAACTAAAAAATATGATAGTTCTGGCCCTCCCTGGTGTCGCAATGGGTTAGGGCACAGAACTGCAAGCAAGCAGCAGCTGCTTCAGCGCAGATTCAATTCTGGCCACTGGAAGTGACCCACATGACATGGCGGACCTCTCCTGTCTCACCCGCTGCTCCCCTCAGCAGTGTACTTTGTTGACCTGATTGTTCTGACTCCTTACTCTGTCTCTGGTGAATCTTCTCACCACACCTACATCTCTGGCCTGTACCCCAGTTCTGTATTCATAAATAAAATGTCTTAAAATATATATATATGATAGTTCTGTACCCAACAAGTGGCCAGATTTTAACAAAGAGACACAATATGGGATCAAAGGTTTATTGTAAGATTTTTCAATTTTCTAAACTTTATATATTACAATGGTTAGTGTTAACTGGTTCACACAAGCGCCTCCCTCCATAGGCACAAGGATAAGCCAGTTGTGTCCATGTGATCACAGGAACTTGGTGGCAATGGGAATGAGACAAGCAATTTATTGATTTGCTTGATAAACAAATTTATGAACAACTGATTGATATTTACAATAACAGCTCCAGCTTTTCTCTCTTCTACACACAATACAACTACATCATACAAAACCCTTAAGATTGAAACAATCCAAAGAGCAATTGTGTTTCCCAAGCCAAATAACAACACTGAACTAAACCTAGAGTTCAAGAAAAGATTATCCAGAGCCTCAAAATCATCTATCATTGTCCCCAACTCTCAAAATGCCCCTGGGAATGACTAGTAAGCAAGAGTATATAAAACGTTTCTATGATCCCAAATTTAAAAAAAAAAAAGTAGAAACAAACTATCAAACACCTGAGAATGTTTTTTTTTTTTAGTATTTGTCAGTATAATAATTATAAATTGGTGTGAGTTTACCTACAAACTTTAAAAGTTATTCAAGAATCCTTTGTCAGTTCCTCGATTGGAAATTAAAGCTAACTTATACAAAACATGGTAACATTATACTCAATCTTTAAAAGTCAAATACAAAAGAGTCAAAGGGCAGAATTCTGTTTGCAAAGCCATTTGAAGACACAAAAATGTCAGAGCACAAGAACAATTATGCCACATATCATATTCTACTAGCAAAGGTAAGCCCCAAAACTAAGAAAATCAAGATAAATGATTTGATTGGAACCCTAGCTTCATAGCAGGTTACATAAGTAATCTAAACTATATTGATAGCTACTTACTAGAAGAAAAACATAATGTTCAACTGTTTTTTCCAAATGCATTGTACTTCCCAATCAAAATAAAACTGTATGGCACACAAATGGACTTTAATCACATACTTTTTTTCAGGTGTAAGTACATACATGCACACACACATACAATTTTACATTTTTACCAACATATATAGTCCACAGATTATCACCTGAAAATACTTTCCTTTTTCATCAGTTTTGCATTGGTTTGTGTGACCACAAACCTTTCCATGCTGTAACTGGTTAATCTAATGCTGTAAAGTTCTGACACAGAAGTCTAACTAGAGATCAAATTTGGCCCCTGGTTTAAAAATTCTGACTAGAGGGTGGAGCTCCACAAAGAGGATTAATTGGCAGTAAGATGAAACCACAAAACTGGCGGAGCAATTCTACAAGAGAGCAGTGGTGAAAACCCACATCCTGGGTAAGAAATTTCAGGTGAAAAGCATCAGGAAGGAATACAACTGCACTGGTCTTTAGTAAACCTTTTAAGTTCACACTTGGTTTCAAAATAAAAGCCAACGAAGGATTGAAGAAAAGCCATATATACAGCGAAACCTAAAAGATGGTGCTGCCAATTTTATGTTTTCATATTAGTCCCATTTTATAATCCCTCAATGGTTTAAATACCCCAGAGCTGTCCAATTTTATTTTTGGAAAAGGAGGCACAGACTGTCTCTGGCAGCAAGGCATACTTGCCCGTGGTTACTGAAAGCAGGTCAGAAAGGCAGTTTACTGTTCCCATTCTAAGCCCATGCCAAAATTATTCAGTAGTCCCAAGGATCAGTACTACTGAAAGCAGCTTGGGTTGATGCCTTCAGCAAAAAAGCATTTTCAGAAACTATTCTTATCTTCCCACTAGAAAGTGGTACTGGGGGGGGGGGGGCTTCCTATCAGTAACTTCCACAATGTAAAGACAGACAATCTAAATATTCCTAAACCAAGCATTTACTGACTATTTAAAAAAATGAATATATTTCAGGAAATTTGGACTTCATCTTTTTTTTTTATCAGTAAGCTGTTGGGGGGAGGGGAGGGGAGAAAATGTAGTTTACCTGAGGAAAAAACAACAAAAAATCCAACAGGCTGATGTGGGCATATGTTCTGTTAATGGGAAAAAGAAAATGGGAGCAGTGAAAAGAAGTTATTATTCTAATTCCATAGATATCTTTGAAATTTTAGTTAATATGGATCCAAGTCACAGACCATGCTCCAAACCTGTACCTTTAGACTTCATTTAAGAATTTTCCTTTCCTCTATACTACACCACCATCTTCTCTAAGGTTCCAGTCAAAAAAAGATAGCTGTGTCTATGGTAAATACAAAGTAACTAAGGCAAAGAAAAAAAAAATCATTAGCGAGGACTCACTCCTCAGGAATTAAAAGCTATCTGCTTTTCTTCCAGCTGCGGCAGCATAGCTGGGCCATCACCGCACCCTATCTGCTTTTCAAGACCATTATTATCTGTAGGTTTGGTAGCTCATTCTGGAACTGCTACACAGTCTCATTCTTTTCTCTGCATTGGCAGGGGAAGCAAAGAACTGAAGAGGCCTTGCTGTACAATTCCAGTCTGACGCACAGAAAGGCCAGTGGACCTTAGGAGAGTCCATATTCCTGGTTATTTCCACCAGTCGTCTGTCTTTGTGTCCTCTGAGAAATCTCTAATCTACAGAAAGCGGCTTCTAAAAAAAAAAAAAAGACATCACCAGCCACAAGGCCTTGAGCTCGCAGATTCTCCCAGGAAAGCAAAAGACAGGTCCTACTATCAATACCAACCAACGCCCTGCATCCTTCTCTACTCGACCCTGGAAAGCTCACCGGTGCACAGCCAGGGATCCTGGGCTCGCCTGGCAGGCTGGGACAGGCGAGTGGCCCGAGTGACGGAGGGCAGGAAGCTTGCCCTCCCACGGGCGTCGCGCGCAGCAATGCAGCTGGCTGGGCTCCCCCAGCACCTTCCGCCGCCGGTCTCCGCCTCCCAACCGCCTTCCCAGCGTTCAGATCCCGGGTGTCGCCACTTCTCCCTCTACCCCGCCGCAGCTGTGGTGGCGACGCGGCTCTCACCCCTACAGCATCCTCGCGTCCCGGGGTCGGAGTAGCAAACCACCGGGTCGGCTAAGGGTGAACACAGACTGGCAGCCCCTGCCTTGCTTCCACGGTCCCTTCTTCCTTCTTACCCTTCTTCCTTCCAACCCCGACACACTCCTTTTGCTCGGCAACCGGCTATTATTGCCCGCGGTCAAGTTCAAGGCCAAGCGCCATCCAGGTTTGGCAGGAAATAAGCGGACACAGCTCCCCAGCCGAAGTGGGCCCCGCCCGACTTGCCACTGACTTCGAAAGAGAAGAAAGCCGAGCATAGAGGACCCAGATACTGACGGCGGGGCACCGCGGAAACTGGGACAAAATAAATATACAGTGCCCTTCTCCTCCCTAGGGAATCCTCCTGCGCTTATTCTCCCTTGCCAGCACCCCGGGCAGTGGGATGCGACGCAGCCTGTAAATAACATTCTTAGCAGTTTACAGAAAATAAATGAAGTGCATCTTCTAGGTCCTTACCTCCTGATGGTTACGTTTCTGGAAAAGTTTAAATTAGCCAACGGAGGTTTGGGGAGGGGCTTTCTAGGTCGGTAAATAAGGTTGCCTTCACTGATGTTTCAGATATCTGGAGCAAGTAGAACAGACGCTGGCTCGTCTGCTGAAAATAATCGAGATTTTGCCCAGCAGTGGGTCAGATGGAGAAGGGAAAGTCCGTTTCCGGGGACTGACGGCAGTTCCGACCAATGCGTGCTTGGCAAGGTGGTGCGCCAACTGCCCTCGCAGCCAATCGCAGATTCCTATGGGAACGAGCCTCCCCGCAACTGCAATTGACTTGGCTGACTTTTAGCAGCTCTCCGCAGAGTGACGTAGACTTGGGCCACTAGCGGCTCGCAGTGACAGCCCCGCCCTTCTAACGATCTTTGGCGCCGGCCAATGAGGGGTACTTTAGCGGTGAGCGGGCTCGGAAACTTGGTACGGAGCCAGTGGGTGGAGGAGGGGGGTGTGTGTGTCACTTGGCGCAAGGGGGCGGTAGTTGTGATAAGTAGCTAACTAAGAATGGAATGCCAACGCTTTCGGCAGAGGACTCGGAAAGCATCTGGTTTCTCTGCTGTTCTTTGAAAACCCACAATGCAACGTTCTTTGTTACTGAACAGGCATCTTGTGATCCCTGTATCATTCATTTGACGAGTATTTCTATTTTTATGGAAGATCCTTTATATGTGAGGCACTTGCTAAGTGCTGGGGATACAATCCCGATACAAATGGAGAAGACTGCTGTCCTCATAAAGCATACAATATGAGAAAGAAGAGGAAGAAGACAAACAGGTAAACAAAATAATAATAAATTAAGGGGGAATTAGACAAGGTGTGGATACAGAAAATACCAGGAGCTTGGTGTTAGGGAAGGTTGTTGCATGAGAACTCTAGTCTCACATTTAAGTTGAGACTGGAGGAATGAGAAGGACATGTCAGCTGTGCAATCAATGACTGTTCAGGCAGCAGAGTAAACATCCTGACCTAGAACAACTTAATATTTTGGAAGAGTAAAGAGTCTGCTGGGGGAGTGGGTAGAGGATGACTTAATTGAACACAAACACAGGTTTTATGGATTCCACCCTTACCCAGACCTGGAAATCCAAGACACTAAGAACTACAAATCCCATAATGTCATCATCACCAAAGGGAGGATTGCTGGGAATTGAGGGTGGAGTTAAGCAGCCAGGCTTGGTATTTAACCAAACATGTGGATCTTGGGGTTCTCTTGCCTTTTCCCCAGCTCTCAGTGTGCTCTTGGGGTTTCAGCTCAGGGGGTTGGTAGGTTGCATTTACTAATTTATCTCCGTCTCCATTTCTCCTTGAGTTATTCTCTGGAGGATGATTGCCTGATATTTCTTTCTTCAGATAATAGACATAGAATGAATCAAGCTGGCTCTTGCTTTACTTTATATGTCCTTCAAGGACCCCCACCCTGCAAATCTGATTGAATCATTCTCAGTCCTCAGCATCTGATTGGACTATTTAGCACCAACCAATTCATTTTCCATTTTAAAACCGAATAATTAATAAACCTGATTGGTCTATTTAGCTCATACCTTTGTGATCTATTTAGAATCTTAGAACCCATATAAAAGAGGGAAAAATCCTACTCCAGTATGCACACAGATCAGAGCAGGGTCTTGGGCCTATGAGATCCAGGGCTCACTGGGATGGGTGGAGGAAGAACACCTGCAGGTGGGCACACCTCAGCCCCAACACAGCCACCTTTCCCTACGTTCTCTGAACACTGTGTAGAAACCAGTTACAGAATGATACTAAGAAGTATTATGTTGGCTGGAAATTTAATATCCATAGGATTCTTGGAATATCTTTTCTTTTTATAACTCTTTGAAAGCAATATGGATCTGTATACACACATTTGTATATTTGTCTGTCAAAATATACATGTGTATCCAGCATCAGATCAAAAAACAAATTATTACTGGAAATTTGTCATAATACCTGCCATTACTGCTTAGTCTGACTTTCGGCAACACAGATGAGTTTTACCTATCTTTGCTCTTCGTATGCACAGAATCATAAACTTTGCATCTTTTGTTTTTGGCTTTTTTACTCAACTTTATATTTGTAAGATTCCGTATTATTGCATACAGTTATCATTCATTTTATCCTACTCTATGAATATATTAGAACTCATGAATTCATTTTTATGATAGATGTCAGGTATTGCTACTATGACATTCTAGCATACATCTTTCTTTTTTTTTTTAAGATTTATTTATTTATGCATACAGAACTGGGGTACAGGTCAGCAGTGTGGGAGGTTAGATGATTCACCAGAGACAGAGTGGGGAGCAGAACAGGCAGATATACTATAAAACACTACTGAAGGTAGCAGTGGGTAGGTCAGGAGAGGTCAGCCACACCATGTGGGTCACTTCCCTGGCCAGGGATCAAACTCATATGTGCTGCATTGACCACAATAGCTTCACAGTGCTGTGCTTCAATCCTTTGCACAACCAGGGAGGGCCATCATATATCTTTCGATAATGTTTTGGAGGGAGCATTTTGCTGATTAAATTTTAAATATAATTGAGTTACTTTTGAATTTAGAATTTGTTCATCAATAATGTAGCAACATGGGGCCCTCCCTGGTAGCACAGCACTACAAAGCTAGCTGCAGCAGTTTCAGTACAAGTTCAATCCCCAGCCAGGGAGGTGACCCACATGGTACATACAGCAGACCTTGCCTGTCTTGCCCGCTGCTACCCTCAGCCGAACTGACTGTTCTGCTCCCCACTCTATCTATGGTGAATCCTTTCACTGCCTCTGTACCTCTGGTCCCTACCCTAGTTTCGTACACATAAATAAACAAATCTTTTTTAAAAATAGTGTAGCAACATGTATTATAATATATCAAACCAAAATTTGGTGCAGATAATAAAGTAGTTCTCACAAACATGAGAAAACTTTGGGTAACAAGGAACTGTTGACATTGTAAATTTTAAGCTTGGGAACCTAAAACATCTTTAATTATACTTGCTGGAGTTTTGACCTTTTTAAAGTACTTGCAAATTGGCTTTTGAGGACGTTATGACTTTGCTGCATCCTTTTGCTATAATAGACTGATCCAGTCATATGATAAGGTCAGTCTGGCTGTCCTGAAGAATATGCATATGTTTGCATCAGTGAAGCATAACTAAATATAATATGCTATAAAAAGAATTTCATCACAGAATTCACTCAACATGAAGGACCTGTATAATGTCCAGAAGAATCAAATGAACATAGCCCTCCATATCTATGTTATGATTTGGTGTTTGGGATTCTTGAGTTATTTTTACTCCCAGTGGTATGGAGATCTGAATTATTTTTCTATTTCTACCTCTAAATTTCTATTTGACCCTGCTTAAGTACTTAATTTTACTATGCACCTTTTTTTTGGGGGGGGGGGTGGAGGATTATTTTGAGGACAACTGTACTTTTAAAATATGTATTAGGAAATGATATAAAACAAAATGCATCTTGTACTTGAATTGCAGAGGAATCCAAGTCAAGGAAATGAAATGCATGATCAGCACCACTGAAGCCTGGGCGGGATGCCCACTCTCCACCCTGGCAGAACCTACCTGTGAAATAGCTAGTGCTATAAAAGACAGGTGCCTGTGACTCGTTCACCTCCATGAATTGTGAGTGGGTGTGGCAGAATTAAATGAGAGTATTTACTTAGTGAAATAGGCCAGCAAGTAAAGGAAAAATACCGGGTGGTTTCACTCATAGCCAGAGTATTAAGGACCAGGGGAGAAAATAATAATAATAATGAACAACTGTATACCAGAGACATTTTATGGGGGTAGAGTGGGGAATGGGATCAAAATGGCAGGGGGGAGGGAAATGCACGGGATTATGGTGATGGCACATGGGTGATGTGGTGATGGGAAGCCCACAGAGATTATAACTGGGATGGAAAAAGTCACCAAATGATGTAAAAATAAACCATTATGTTATTTTTTTAAAATGAGAGCATTTAATGTTGTCTGCAAAGTCCACAAGGTTCACTTCCCTCTGCCACTGCAAATAACCCTGCTCCTGATCATCACTGTCTTCGGTCTGGGTCCCCAAGTGACAATGAAGAACCCAGTCGAATATCCAGGATAGCCAGAGAGCATAAGCTAGAAAGAGACCTTTGCCATTTTAAGTCACTGATTTGGTTTGTTACGTATTTTGTTTTTGTTGTTTAAGATGTATTTATTTATGCATACAGAACTGGGGTACACCAGGGTAACACCAAGGAGGGCCCTGTTATACAGGTAGTACCTCCAGCTTAAAATCATTTAGTTGAAATTTTCTTGGGGCAATGTTAATCAAAGAAATATTTTCATTCATTTTATTTATTTTAAATAAAATTCACTTTATTTATTTCATTTCATTATATTCATTTTTCAAAGTAAATTTTCATGTGTATAGTCTTGTGGTACCATCACTAAAATCTAAAAACCAAGCCCCCATTCCTTGCCCAGAAGACAAGTTTGGGAGACTTGTATGGATAAGGGAGTGAATGGGAATACCAAGGATTTCCTGACATTAGGACTATAATGGAAAGAGCTGAAGGTCCTTAATGCTAATTCAGATCACCAGTCAGAACACACCCAAGACTAGACGCCGTAGGCGGCCAGTGATGCCAGATGTGTAGAGACTCAGGCCCCTCACTATGTGAGGCAGACCTCTCCTGTTTCACCTGCTGCTTCCCTGAGCAGTGTATTTCAATTAACCCACCTATTCTGTTTTGCACTCTGTCTCTGGTTAATTCTTTAATCCCCACCCCCTCCTGGCCTCCAGACTACACTCCTTTCCCCCACAAAACAAGCATGCTAACTAAGTTCAGGGTTTATAATAACGAATGGATATAAATGTAGTCTCTAGATTCAAGAATTGAAAGGGGTTAGGAGACTGTAGGTGCATATCAAGAAAAATGCGCACTGTCATTATGATGGAATCTCAGAGTAGGAACATTTAGGATGGAAGTTCTTACAAGGACAAAGACCAGGGGTGGAAGGGAGGGGCAATTAATGAATCTTAGATTGAACATGGCTATGGAAATTTCCAGGAATCTGAGGTAAAGTCAATAAAGATATCAGCTGGGGTGGAGGGAAAGAGGATTATTGACTTGTTTTT